ATATTTCCATTCACAATAATGAAGCCAGATTTCAAGATAGGTAGTTAGTGTAGCTAGGTTAAATCAGGTCTGATATACAGTTTAATAGAGAAAAATAGATTCCCATCTGAGTCTGGGAAATCAGAAACTACACCTGGGAGATTGAAATGTTAATGTCCCCAAGCCCTCCCCCCCACACACACACACAAAGAACTGTTAATGAGGCAGCTCCCAGCACATAGGGAGGTGCTAATCAATTCCACCTGCCTTCCCACCTGCCTCCCCCATCATCTGCAGGATAAAGGAAAATAAGCAAGATAAAGGACAGGGATAAAGACCTCAGATATAAAAAAGGGATGAGACCTCCTCAACCCAGGGATTCTGCCTTTCAGTTCCCTTTCTTCCTGGGTGGGCGGTGGGGGGGCAGGGGTGGGGGTTCTTCTCTGCTGTCCTTTAGTAAAGCCTTTTCCTTTCCACTCTGCACTTGCCTTGGGGTGCTTCTCTGCACTTGTCTCAGTGTGCTTCTCGGGTGTTATACTTCAACATTCGGGAAGCAAGGACTTGTCAAGGTAAGTATCAATAACATGGATCAGCCTGAAGAGCGTTAGGCTAAGAAAACATTATGTTAAGAACCTGGCGAATATTACGTTAAGGCACAGAAAGACAACTGCCGCATGTTCTCATGTACATAGGGGAACTAAAACAGTCAAACTCTTAGAAGCATGGAGTGGTTCTAGGGCCTCAGGGGTGGGAAAAGTGTTAGTCAATGGTACAAAAAGTTTCATATATATCAGATTAATGAGCTTGGAGGTTTAATATTCACGGTGACTATAATTAACCATGTTGCGTTGCACCGTTCCTTGACATTTCTAAGGTGGTACATCTCAAGTGTCCTTGCCAGGCACACACAAAAGATAACTGTGAGATGAGGAGTATGTTAGTAAGCTTGAGTGTGATGGTCATTTCATCATCAAATCACACACTTGAAATATATGCAATTTCTAGCCCAGCCACTATGGAAATCAGTGTGGAAGCTCCTCAAAAGACTAGGTATGGAGTCACCAGGTGACCCAGTTAATGCCACTTCTCAATTTTTTCCTGAAGAATTGAAGTCATCTTAATACAGTGAAACATGCATACCTATTTTTAAAACAGCACAATTCACAACAGCCAAACGACAGAACCAGCCTAGGTCCCTCAATGGATGAATAAATAAAGAAATGTGGCATATATACACATTGGAGTTTAGTTCAGCCATAAAGAAAAATGAAATCATGGCATTTGCAGGAAAATGCATATAACTAGAGACCATTAGGTTAAGTAATATAAATCAAACTCAGAAGGTTAAGGATTGTATGTTTTCTTTCATGCAGAAGCTAGAGAGGAAAAGGGAAAACAAAGTTGATGTATATATACTAAAAATCAAAGAGAGATCAGTAAAGGAAAGGGACTTCAAGTGAGGGGGCGCAGGGAGTGTTATGCTCGAATTCAGGACCCCCAAAGACCACCAGAGACCCAAGATTGATGTAAGCAGCAAAGAGGTGTTTATTGCGAGCTAGCTCGGTCCTCCACGTGCACACACAGCAACTGGTGACGCTGAGAGGCCTCGAGCCCAGGGTTTGCAGCATTTTTATACATTTTCTTGGAGAGGGCAGGGACTTCACATACATCATAGCAAATCATCACACACCACGGGAAAATCAAATAACAACTCTAAAACATAATTAGCACATTCACTGGCGGGAACAAGTTGGGTAGGGGTGATTGGTCAGAACAAAAGGGGTATTGGTTTGAACTGATTGGTTTGAGCCAAGAGGGGTGTACGTGCTGAACTACATGGTTTCCCAACATGTTATCAACCACCATAAACCACTGGGAGGGTCATCG